AGGAGGGGGCGCGGCCCCGCTCCTCCTGTCTCTGTTTGTTGAGACCGCCATAAAGGACGTTTAATTTTATTTTTGTCCGCAAGTTGCACCTTAGTTTCTCCAGCGAGGGGGGGGGAGCACTTCCTTCTGAAGCCATGGAAAAGCTTTTGTTCTGTTTGTACGGTTTCTCTCTGAGCGTGTTGGAGTGGGACAGCGTCGGTGTCGTGGACCTACAGGAGGTGACTGAGTGGCCCCTGCTCCCCGCCCCCATCATGTGACCCCAGAATGTAGTCTGCTGCCCAGCGCAGAGCGACGGTGATGACCTGGGCCCGCTGCTATAGATGAAAGGAAACCCCAGATGCATAGAACACTCCCGGAGAACGCTGTCCACTCCCCCGCCTCACCCTCCTCCCTCCTCTCCGTCTGTCAGTGAACCTCCCTCCCTCCCTCCTCTCCCTCCTCTCCCTCTCCCATCTTCGCTCTTCGCCGTGTGCCTTTTCTGTTGTTAAACGTAGGAGTGAGTTCACGGATACTCTCCGCTGTTTATCGCCGCAAGTGTTGTTTTGCCTCCTGATAAACTGCCTTTCACACCGTTAACCCAAATCCAGCTGATCTCGGTTCAGCCGCTACGCTCCTTCTGCCTTTTCTGTAACGGACTCCTGGTGCTGAGCAGGGAGCGTCCTGATCTCCCCTCCGCTCGTCTGCTTTCCTGCTCGCTCGGGCTGGTGACCAGAGCTCGCCGTGCTCCTGTTTCAGTGTGCTCCTCTGAGTATTCCCTGATCAGACTGGTCGCGTGTCATGGCAGATGGGATATGTTCTGGGTGCACACAGTGTCCGGAGCTGAATGAATGTAACGCTGCGGGCGGAGCAGTTCTCACTCAGACGGCGTTTGAAGGTTTGAAACAGAAACTTTCTGCCATGACAGCGTGTCACTCAGTTATTTGAAGCAGGAGTGTTTGAGCAGCTGCTGCGAGGCAAGAAGCTCCCAGCTGATTGGCCAGAGGTCTGGCTGTATGACGCTGTGTCCGTTTTATTTCAAAGTAAAGAGGGAAGGACGTCTGTAGCTGCTCATCGATCCACAGCCGCTCTGTTTACGGTCACTGCCGTAACGGAGCGCCCCGGTCGGCTTTTTGGCCTCGTGCGCACTCGTACCGATGAGACTCGCAGCTGCGTTCCTTCACAGCAGTCAGCGCCGCAACTCGTCACTTTATCAAACCACAAACGCTCCGCTCGGCGCGGTTCTCCTCCCCGGGGGCCCGGGGGCCCGGCTTCCACATCGCTGTCTGTTGAATATGACTGATGATAGAAGGTGTTTCAGCTCCGTAACTGCAGCGGCTGAAACGTCACGGCACAGCGGACAGCAGGAGCAAGTTTCTACAACCAGTGACACCTCGGCTTTCTTTAAGGAATCTTATCGTGTCAGCAACCAGCCAGTGCCATACACACCACAGCCACAGCACAGTCAGCCCTGTATTCAGTCTGACCCCGACCCGTTCCCTTCCACTTCTGAATGTGATCAATCAGCGCTTCATTCAGCTTCAGGATGAGTTAGGCAGCTGCAGAAAGCCAAATAATGTATTTACAGCGAGCTTAGCAGAGACGTGACGAGCTGATTATTAACGGTCTGTAATGAAGCTGCTGATTAAAGGTGCAGTCAGGAATATTTCAGTTCCTCTCACTGCTCCTTTACTGACGGTAATATAGTGCCGACTTGTGAACGCCATGGAGCGGGTACGAGCACGTATTTGTTCATGTTTGTTTGTTGATGTTCAGCCTTTATGCTCACACACTCCCTGTAATGGGGGGGTTGAGTTGGTGTGTGACGGTACATACGAGAAACGGTACGATGCTTACGTACGTTGAGTTCTTTCCAGGAATCCTTCTCGGACCGGTGTTTGTAGTTCTCTGTAGCGGCCTCTCGCTCTGAGTAAAGACGTGTTTTACTGGTTGCACCTCTTTAAAGCAGGGTGAACTGTTCCACTGATCGGTACACCGCAGCGAACCAGCAGCCCTCGTTAAACTCTGATCAGCTGGTGGATCCACACAGGTTGTGGAAACTTCTCCTCTTTTGTCCGGGTGACTGAAACGAACTCCTCCTTCACTCACTTTATGCATTTTCATATCGGTACGTGTCCAAAAAGAAGCTAAAGGATCGGCCTCCTGTCACGGAAACATTGGTGGCCGTATTGAGTTTGAGGCGGCTCACAGTCAACTGTCTGGTACAGATGGAGAGTGGTGAATGCCGCCAGCACTGGTAAACCTTGATACGCACTACCATTATGCACTATCTATGATTCACTGATGCTTTCTCACCCCCCCCCCCCCCCCCGGCTGTCGCTCCGCGCCAGCTCCTTCCAGCGACCTTATTCTTTGCACATTTTAAGACTTTTATTTTTTACACAAGTGGTGATTGTGAGCGCGTGTGTGTGAGCGTGTGTGTGTGTGTTCGATGATTCATGAATGTAATGTCTTTTTTGTTAACCGTCAGATGGCCTCGTTCCCCCCCGTGGATCAACTATTCGGTACCAAGTATTTGTCACCTGCAGACGCCAAGATACACCTGTAGTTCTCTCTTTAGTGTCTAAAGCCAACTGCTGCAGACTTCGTGTGTGTGCCGCGTGCGTGTGTGTGCGTGTGCGAGTTTGTAAATGTGCATTTACTTGCAATTTGTGCTCTTTGGACACCTGCGCCCGAAATGCCCTTGAGCATATGTGACTGTAGGGGTGAGAATATTAAAATAATAATAAAAGATGAATGAAAAAATCATGTACAAATGTATAAAATGAAAATGTACCCCTTTTTAAAAAAGAAAAAAGAAAAAAGAAAGTCCACTTATATCCCATCCCACGTTTGGTCTCTGTGTATTGTAAAAAAAAAAAAAAAAAGCCATGTTTATAATTCTGATTGGTTTGTGACCAATACGCCTGTTTATATCAGATCTGTATATCAGTGGTACGCATAATTTTTTAATATATATTTTTTATTTTACTTTTTTTTAAATGGGAGATTTTATGCATGGTTGGGTCCTGAGAGACGCAGCGGTGCCGTTGAATGGTTGCTGTTTTTTGGCAAAAAATTCTGGAGTATTGCGACAGCTCTGTGTTCATAATTACAACAATTATGACTGAAAACAATAAAAGATATTTATTTCACATCCAGGCCTTCTTTTGTCAGTGTGTGAATGCTTAAACTCTTTTAATTTGTTTAATTTGTTCAATTCAAATCTGTGGATGTCACTGTAATTGGTAATTATGAGATCAAAAGTATAATTAAGAGATGACTTTCATTTCATAATAAGTTAAAAAATTACTTTTTTTTAATCTCATAGTTGTCCATTCATCTAATAATAATTTCTGCTTTTATCTTATAATTTTAACCTTTTACCTCATAATTATGAATTTTCATGTCATAACTTTGACTTTCTATCTCATAGTTGTCTCTTTTTATCTCCTTTTTGTCATGAATTTGACTTTCTTTTTTGTGTTTCTGTTTAATATGTTAAATATATTTAAATATTCTGCAGCTTTATATTTTATGTAAACATTCATTTCTATATTTCTTTTATTTTTTAGCTTTTATTAAAAAATTAGACCGTTGTAGTTCTGGTATTCGACCACCGGAGGGCGCCAAACAAACATTCAACATGACAACCATCAT